CAGCAGGGCAACAAGTATCAGTTACATAATCACATGCATTTTCAATATTGTTGCTGTCTTCAATCACCAATTTTTCACGAACTGCCTTACTTGTGTCATCTTTTGAAGATTTCCGACAATCTATAGTATTGCTAGCAATGTCAGGTACTTTATTCAATAAACCCCCAGGAAGATGACAACCACATTCAATAGATTTGGTTTCATCATTTATCTTGCATGCACTACAGGGAGGGATATCCATACAATTGACCAAATCAGTTCCATGTGAGCCTGTTCCATCACAAGCATTTGCTATTTGATTCCTCGTAAGATTGGAAACTGTAATAATTCGTATTATAAAAAAATTAAGTTCAGAGTTTCAAAGAAAAAATGATAGTGATAGCAAGGATATCTGCCTCCAAGCATACAAAACCATATAAAAAAACTCGCCAAGTGTCTAAGACAATGTACCTTCTGTCGGAATCAGATTTTGGCCAGCCAATTTATGCTTTGGTATCTTCTTCTGTAACATATCTACGTGAGGGAATACCAACAGATTCATATTTTTTATTACTTCCTTGTTTGTTGATTCAAGTGGCTCAAACCCAAAAACAGAAGTCCAAGTTTCTCTGAGTTCTGAGATAGCTGGTATGACCAAAAACTCAACATTTAAAGAGCTGAGTGCCTGGTTATGGTAGGAGAAACAGTAGTTTTGAAGTCAGCAAAATGAAACATCCAAAGAAAACCAATAAAATAAAAGAAAAATTGAGGACAAAAAGATTTTAGTCTGGAAACCCATGTATCACATCAAAGTGCAACATGGTTCTTTCATATGATAAGACTAACCATAAATTCTGGACCACTAACCTTGATTAAAAGACAAAATTGTTATTGACCTCGCCAAATACTTAATGAGAATATAGAAGTATATTTTACTGACTTGTTAATAGTACATTAATTTGATGATTCAGTGCCATCCAAAGCATTGTTCATTGCTGTACATACTAAAATCTACTTTCGTTAACATCAGTCGCCTTGTTTGTCTTGCTTCCAAATCCAGAAGACAAGTTATTTTGCAAATCATATCCAATATTAATGTTTCTGCCCCTAGCTAAAACAGTCTCCCACCCTTATTAAGGTACTTTTACAGAACATGTGACAGTAATTTAGCCAGGAAAAAACTATAGGCTAACAGAACAGGATTTCAAAAAAGGAAAAAGCAACAAAATTTGTGCAACTAAAACTTATCAGAGAAAATAAACTTACCCATTCAATGGCATTTAGAAGCCGGCGGCACATTCCTTGTCGCCTATACATATAGCGGGTCCCAATAAATGGCATCTCTGCTAGTTGGTTCCCGTGGATCCTGTTTGGTGAATTAAAGAAATGTCATCAGAATTTTTCATCGGGGAGGAAGGGAGGAGGGAAGTAAAGCAATCCAAATGAAATTGTTTAGCAATAGGGCAGAAGACAAAGGACAGAATTAATGATTATGATATCTTAGTTATAACAGATGAAAGAGGCAACTTCACAAAACAAAAACCCCAAAATACCAAACGAGGTAAATATCCTTCCAACAGGAAGTTAATGCCACATTATTAAGGTTCTGCAATAGTTGACAAAAATAGTTAAGTTATGGCTAAGTTACATGGATATGGGCATAGAGTATGGCAAAGTTTCTAAAGACTAAAGTACAAGTACAGCAGGATATATTATAATTTATTATATACTAATATAAAGCACAAAAAAAAAGTAGTAAAATCATTAAATTGTAAGTATTTTAATCATGTTCTAACTTGAGCAAAAATGTTTGAATAAGATACAAGTTGTAACAACAGTGGCATAGCATTTTGTTTCATTTATTAGCAAACGAAATCACTTGGTAACAAAAGTTCATGTTCTTACCAATTAACTTCTAATTGAGTGAAAAGTGCATCTATTAAGCATCAGTATCATACGGATCTCGCATGGGTATGATAGGAGTATCCATGATTAATATATATATATATATATATATATATATATATATATATATATATATATATATATATATATATATATATATATATATATATATATATATATATATATATATATATATATATATATATATATATATATATATATATATATATATATATATATATATATATATATATATATATATATATATATATATATATATATATATATATATATATATATATATATATATATATATATATATATATATATATATATATATATATATATATATATATATATATATATATATATATATATATATATATATATATATATATATATATATATATATATATATATATATATATCAATTTTGATTACATCTTGGTGACAATTACCTATAGTACAATTTTTTTTACTGAAAAGAATATGATTGAAATTCGAAAGAAGTACCAATAACATTAAAAACACAACCATTTGCAGTCAAATACCAAAGAAGACTACAGAATCATTATCTTGGCCACAACACAAAATATGGAATTTCCATATGCAGTCTTCAGTCAGCATATAAGCTAATTATTGACTGCTCTGGAAAACATGTCTAAGCAAATATAAAGGTTAAGTAGAAATCCACCTGATAGATGCAGCACAGATGATCTCATCACCTCTCTGTAGAATTGCAGTAACAAATCCACTATAGTTCAGACGATTGAAATTTGACCTGACAGAGAATAACTCTAATATTAGGCTTCATTGATAAGGTAAAAAAGCTTTGCAGCTCCAACATATGTTACTACTAGCATATATAGTAGAAGAATAATACCGATCCATCCTCATACAATAATCAATGCTTTAGATACATGAAACTAGGAAACATTGTTTATTTGCTAAAATGTAATAACCGGGAAACATTCTAAAAAGAAAATATTCTCTGAAATTTTATGATAAGTTCTTGCAGTGTGCATGATATATTCTCATGTTATAAAGCAGACATAACACAATTATTAAACATGAGCATTTAATAGGCCATGTATTCCATAGAAATAATCTTGATATACATTCAATTACTGAAGATGAATCTAGAGACTTTTCTTAAATGCAATTTATTTAGTGAAATGTCGTCTACCACTGGCAGTCACTGGTCAGTGACACTAATATGCAGAACATTTATAAACCTAGCTTCTGTTTTCAGCACAGTAAGATAGTATTATGAACATCACAAGTTGTCAGTTTAATCTGCAAAGATATCTGAAGGCCCAACCAAAGGACTACACCTTCATGTATATAACTTACAAGCCCAAACCATCAAGACCCCTTGAACAACAAAGAAAGGCGGGCTCACCCCCATTTTGTACCCTAGTGCTCACAAAGAAGGAAGACTAAAATCTCTTACAAGCAGAAATTGCTCCTTCACACGGCCACTTAGACAGCATTCTAGAAGTTAAAACCACAATCATAAGTAAATTGGCTGTTTCACGTCACCCACTCAAGGAATCTTAGCAAGGGCAAATGCAGGACTGGGTAGTGCCTAACTAAATAATAATGAATTTCCAGAAAGGGAAGTGGACAATAGATCCACACTTCTGTAATTTTCCATTGCAATGCCTTCATAAATATTAAAATATGAGTTATAATCCCTGCTGGATTTCTAAATAAGGCAGACACTGCAGGACAGCCATCATCTCATGAGAAGTGGCTGCATTCCTAAGAAATAAGATCTTTAGACACCTATGCAGCTGCAAATTTTATGCAATCAATAGTGACAAGAAATAAAATCATTTTTAAAAAAATACATAAATTTCATATTTGAATTAGGGTCCTAGTTATGAGCCCTAAATAAGGTAGCTTTTCCCTCTGATGTTATCCTTATTTTAAAACTATAATGCTTAAACCTTCCTCCAGCTATAGTCCTAATAAAGCTCCAACATTAATATCCTCCCTTTATTTCATATTTTCAATTTTCAATTATTACGGATTTCCCTCCAAGAACACCCTCCCCCCTAGTTAGCCCCAAACCTACATTCACAAATCATATAATAGTTTTTTAATTCTCATAATTTATTATTACACAACTTTTAGAGCTCATATAACACTATTATAACCAATTACACATGCAGACACATAAAAGAAGTTATTGGCATAATCAATCATATGTTACAGCCAAGAAAGTTGTTTTAAGGATGGGAAAAAAGAGGCAATGAGACCTTACCCACAATTATACAGAATACTGTGGATTAGATTGGTACCACTTCTGTGATCAATATATGGCATGAAGCACTCATCCATTATCGATAATGCAACAGCTAGTTTAGAATTACATTCAACCATCTGAGGTTTTATTTGAGAAGCATCAAAACCAACATCTGACCGTTGAATAAAAGTCCAAGAATAACCATCTTCAATTTCATGTTTAACCCCTAGGAGCATTTCAAGTCTCTCAGATAACTGGAAGACAAATTTAACAAAATAAATTAGTTTGATTACAATGACAAGAAAATATTCTACAGATTTAGCAACACATATCATGAACCACGAGGTGACAAATTATTAAAACAGTAGCCACTGTTGCAACTCAAAAGCTTAGCTCAATTCAATTTACATGCAGTAATCAAGATAAAGGAACTTTAAAAAATAGGTCATACCTCTTGACATCTGTTTCCACAAAAGAAGACATCCGTGGAATCATCAGTACTGGCATCATTTGCCTCAATGCAGGATCTGTGATCTACAAAAGATTAAAAAAAAATTGTATTCATTTCAATCAGGGAAAAGCTACTGCTACTTCATTTGAGAAATGAGTGTCTAATTAACAAAAGAATGCATGTATCTAAAAACCATACATTTTTCCTCACATAATTGGCATGTGAGTAATTTTGATACAGCAAGTTCATCATTGTCATCCCTTTGGCTTGAACTTCCATTAACCGCAGACCCACAAAATTTGCAACAGCAATAGACGCAGTGCCAATCACCAGATGGAAACTTCTGCAAGCAGAACAAAAAGATCCTTTACTTTCCATTACACTATTTTCCATATGCAGGTATATCATGGATACATCAGAAAACTAAAGTTATAGAAATAACAATAAGATTTTCCCAATACTTATCGGTTTTCAGAAAATGTCAAAAGCATATCTATCTCAAGGTTTCTAATAATGAATTACTTTTTATCAGTAGATAGTTAAATGTTTCTAGGTAGTGAACCATCTAGACCACAAACAATCAATGCTGGATTATAACTGACGAGCAAGCATATGTAATGCCCTGTACAGCTGTAAAAACAAGCTGATCCCAAACAACTTTTGTATTGAAAAAAAGCAAACACATGACAAGAAGCAGAAAGAAAGTAAATGATACGAATGTTCAGAAACTCTATTAAATTTGCACTATGTTGGCAGAAATCCAAGTCATTTATCTGTCATGAATCATGAGACACTAAATAATAAGGGACAACTGGATAATTCATGACATTGACTTATCTATCCTCATAAAAAATCACAACAAAAGTGTTCAATTAAGATCAATAATATGAAAATTAATTTAAAAAGTCTGTGTGACCACACATCAAGATACATACTTTTATATCCAAGCAGCCTTGATGGAATGTTGATGGGCAACCATCACAACATATCAGGTCTCCACCGTCTCCACAGACACCACATGTATCATCATTTGGATCTTCACCCGCAACATCAACAAAATGAAAACCTTTACGTTCAAATTCATCTTGTTTATTCCATGAATCTAGCAAGCATTGTAAAAGGGAAGTTCCTTCCTCCACATATATATTTCTAAGTGGATCAGCAAGTTCACTTCCTGCATGTACTTCAAATTCCGAAATAGGTACAATTTTATTACAGCAGCTACAATGAATACCATCTTCTGTGATCTTACCATCCAGAACTGCACTTTTATTTTTGTCTGGCATATAACAAACCTTCCCATTTTGAATGACTGTACCCAAATCAATCATCCAGGCAAGCAAAGTTCGTTTTCCACTGTACAGTACATATCCCTCAGTGTCTGAATCTATCTCCTCAGCATTGCGAACCAACAGACCACTTCGCTTCTTGTTTTGTGTTTTGTGTCGCTTATGATCCCTCACAAGAACTGGCATCCTGTTATGTGATGCAACATCAGTGATTCCATGTGACCATTTCCTTTTCATTTTCCTCTTCATTGACTTACCCAAGCCTGCACCAGAACCAGACTTTTCTTTATTCCTTTTACCATTGACTCCATCAACTTCCTTTCTACCCTTTCCCCCTTTATGTACCGATTTATCTTTCCATTTTCTTTGCTTGTTAATTACCTTGGTTAGTATTTGGAAATCCTCTTCTGGTATTGGTGTAAATTTGAAGCCGGGCCCATATGCCTTACCTTCACCAGTACCAGCTTCATAATACTCTTTAAGCCTTTTGTAGGCCAAGGTGATTGACCAGTGTGTATGTCCATCCAGACTAACATACACTGCATCTTTGTACTCTCTACCATTCCTAGGTCTGTAGTCAACTGTCCAGCCTGCAGCTGAGAGCCGTTCCTTAATTTGATCCCTCACAAACTGCTTTACTTGATTCTTTCCACTTTTCTCATTGGCATTTGCATTCACTGTATTTGATCTTAATGGTGAGGCCACCACATTGTTGTCAGCTTCCAAAACCTTACTAAATTTATTCTTCTTGACAGGAGAAAATTCCTTCTTTTCTAACTCATCCCCAGCAGACTCCATTGAATTTGTATCATCCATTGGATCTGCATTAGCACCATCTTTCTTAGTTAATCGATCTTTACCTTTTCGAAGGCCTCCCTTTCCTTTTCTATTATGTGCCGCCACAGTCACAAGATGGTTTTGTGACTTCTGTCGGCCAGCCATGGGAGGTCTTCCACGCTTACGCTTAGGTGGCAACTGATCAATGGATTGACCTTCCTCTTTCAACTCTACTTTGGGAGGCCTCCCACGCTTCCGTTTCAATTTCCTTTTGCCATTCCCAACCTTCCTCACCTTAAGCACTTCATCCTCACAACTGTCAGCTAAAGATTCATCAGCTTCTTCAAATTCCTTCTTAACTTTCACCCTCTCACACTCACTATGTTCGTCATTCCCAGAAAAAACATCATCATTCTCTCCATAGTACAATCTTCTGTCATGCCCCCTCTTTGACCTCGAGCGCAACACTCGACCACCAGCCAATACCTCATCACCTGAACCTCGCTCACTCTTTGCCTTCCTATCTACCTCAGCTACTACAACGCTACCCCCACCGCTAAAACAACTACCGGTCCCGTTCTCAGCCAAGTCAACATTTCCACTCGCACTCACATTCAAATCGAAGCCACATTCTTCTTTTACACCCCGTTCAACTTCGCCCTTCTTCTCAGCCGACGAGTTCCGAGCCTCTGAACCCTCACCACCCAAGTCAACAGTCTCATTCTTGACAGCAATCGTTTCATTGTGAGCAACTCTTCCACCACCAGAAACCGTCCCCACTCGAGTCCGAGATCTCAGCCCCTCTCTCATTTCTCACGGAACCCTAATTCTAGAAACAGCGCATAGTTAGGGTAAACCGAAAGAAAAACCAAACGCATAAAACATCGATTCCGTTCTGACCAGAAAACTTACAGGTACAGCAGTGCAGACGAAGCAAAACACGCGCGAGGCTTTTAGCCCAATCGGCCTCTGAAAAGCAGAGCGTTGGTCAGAAAACGCAAGGTAGTCAAAGAGAAATCGAAGAGAAGCGTCAGATCAACGTGAAACGGTGGCAAAGTTTTGGAAGCTTACCAATGTGCGAAAAATCGGAAGAAATTCTTCGAAACCTAAAACTCCACGCAACGAATCATTTGGTTCCGTGGAGAAGTTGAAAGCGCATGGCCCTTCCAAGATTGTTTTCGAACTGAAAGTTTTAGAGCGAGAAAGAAACAAATAGAGAGAGAAAGCGAGAGAGGGGTTTAGGAAGTGAGAGAGAAGACACACAATGGAAAATACAAAAATATATATACGGAGAGCGTGTTCAGACTTCACACTTCACACTTCACACTCGCCACTTTTTTTAGACCTTTTTTCTTTCTTGGTAAACTTAGTAATAATTAGAGATCCTGCCAAAAATCTACTCATTAATGTGATTTTCATGTATATTCAGATTTTCTATATATCTTTTGAGCCATTTAATTTTATTTAATATTTAAACATTTAACATTTTTAAATGAATAAAATATAACTTATCTGAATACAAAACTGAAAGATTGAATATAACTTGATAATATCTCTTTTAGTGGGAAAAATAGAATGGTTTGAAATTTTCCTTCTTTTTCGTGGTAGCGGTTGTGGCTTCCCAATTCACGCTTTTCTTGTCGAAACCTGAAACCCTTCCCTAATTTGCAGTCCTTTATTTTAGGCATGGGGTTCTGTGCACTGTGTCAATTGTCAAAGTCCAAAAACCTTCTACCTTCTCTTTCCGACAAGAGCATGTTCAAACCCCGCCTTTGTCTTTCTCTTACTCTTACACGAAATATTTGGTAATGAAATAATGAGTCATTTCAGTGAACCATCCTAAATTTGTAGTTCTAAATGATGACTGGGATTCTTCTTCACCCCATTTTGGAAAACTGCCTTTTTCTTTATTAAACGTGTTTTCAATTTTAGAATTGTACGCAGTTTTTTTTATTTTAAATGACGAGGTATGTAATGTAAATGTCCAATTAATATTTTCTCCTGTGGCTAGCTAAATCATGCATTTACCATTATCGAAATTACACCCAAGTATTATAGGTAAATATAAGAAATTTAATTTTGTGATATTAAAGTTTAAAATAATTGAACATTGTAAATTAGTATTCTGATGACTTTTCCCGAGGAGATCGGGATAGTATAATTTATGCCATGATTCCCACTCCCTCCGAACAAAGCACTGAGAACAAATTAATATGACTATTTGGGCAACCCCGTATGCGTGATTTTAATTTAAAAAGAGAGAGACGCACGTATATAATTAGAAGTAAAAAACAATAGATGTCGTATGTAACTTATGTAATAATGATACTGTGATACATCATGACATATACCTATGTCGAAGTGTGGTTGAAATTTGAAAACTTAATTTTAATGATTTTTTATCCCTGTTGGCTGTTACGATTAACCTTTATGTGACGGTGTAGAAATAGTCTGTCAGTAATATTTAAAAATATGATATTATATGAGGGTATTTTAACTCATTTAACTCTCTTAAATTATTGTTATTTTTGTTAAATAATACCAATTTGGTATTTGGATATAACTATTTCATTAGGATATTTTCATTTCTTTAACTCTTAAGTTAGTGTTACTTGTGCTAAATAATAATGATTACGGGATAAAAGTTTTCATCTTCATTAGGATATCTTATAATTGTATTTGATCTCATGCCACAACAAATGTGTTTTCCTTGCTATTTTGGATTTAATTTAAATTAGTTAACATTTATTTGAATTATACAAATTTTTGTTATGGTAGATTTTTTTTTCTAATGATCAAATGATTGGATAACTATTAACATTCTCTCACACAAACCAATATCTTTTAGGAAATTAAAAAATAGGTATAATATCTAGTGATAAGTTAATTTTGATTTCATGAATTTAAGGTATATATAACTTAATCTATAACTAACATAACTCTTTAACCTCAAGTCAAAAAGGCGGATGAGACTCGAGATAGTTAAAAAGATAAATATACTTGACATATAATTTGGCTTAAAATTAAAAGGGTATATAGTCGTCCAACCTTGAGACAAATAGGTGAATCGTGATTAAAAAACTAAATTCATGTTAAGTTTGAGTTCATTCATTACACTCCAATCACAATGACAAATAGGTGAATCATCGTTAAGAAACTAAATTCATGTTAAGTTTGAGCTAGTTCGTTACACTCCAATCACAAACAATCGTCCATTTGATGAACACGTAACTTCAAATATAATTTGTACAAAATCATTGACTTATAGTGATTTTCATCATTAGTCTTTTATGTCTTTTAAACGATGTTTGAGTTTATTGAACATTTGCACTTCCCGGTATGAATATCAATATTTATATCAATTAACCATTGACTTTGTATTGACTAATGTCCTAATCGTTTTCCAACAATTTTAGCCTTTCCAACAAAGGCTAGGAACTCAATGATAGAAAAATAATCCACCAGTCTTTTTAGCCCATGCCTTAAGCATTCACTATTTTTTTTTTCATTTTCAAGCCTCAAAGTAGTAATGAGTTGGATGCTCAAGCTTCACTACATACTCTTATATCGACATAGTTCCTTGTTGTAGTCTTAAAAATCAAGTCTCATTAGCATACTTAGCATTTTCTTAAAATATCTTCTAAGGAAAAGTCTTTTAAAACTTTCCCAAAAATAACTTCACCATAAACCATTAACATCTACTAAGCACCTCACAATCAGTGTTCAACCTCATAGTAAGCATATACACTACAAATACAATGTTACATTTTATTCTCGATGAATGACATGACTTTATAGTTCTTTTTCATGTCATTGATTCATAGTAATCGACATCATCTATATGGTTCTCGTTATCTAGACCCCATCAATCGGAGGCAATTATTTAGAAAGTCTACCCATCACCCATATTGAGATAAGTAACACCTAAACTTAGGTAATTCACCATCATCTATAACATAAACACAACACAATCACCCCCACATAATAGTGTTCAAAAGACTCGATTGACTCTAATACCAAAATGCGTAATGACCTAACTATGACACCCCTTAGACATGTGATGTCTCAACGACACCATTCCATGATATTTCATATGGTGATACTTCACACAACTTATTGTTCGTCATAACTATTTACTAGTTAGAACCCTCTGTGGGTAGCCTTTTTTGAGATATTTGTCTACTTTTAGAATAAACGACTGACCCCACAAAACCTTCCAAAAGGTCGTTTATCTTTAGATTACTTCAAAACAAGCATGATTAACTACGAAGTTCTTTTGTAATAAGTTATTGAAAAGTAGTTGCATCTTGTTGGTATATGTAATACAAATTAATTCCTTTTTTTAACTCATCCTCTATCATACAATATCGCACTTGTATAAATCTTTGGATCCCTCTCAGTTTGATGTGTTTGATGTGTTACAAGTCCACTAGCTTCCGCCTTATTCGCCTCCAAACCACACTACTAGAAGAGAGAACCAAACCTTGATACTATTTGTAACACTTCTCATATTTGACGTCTTAATAACTCCACTCCACCACACTTCACATAACTTCACATTGGTTAGAACCCTCCGTGAGTAGTCCTTTCTGATATATTCGTTTGATTTTAGTATCAACAATTGACCCTACAAACTAACATAAGATTTTTCAGTGTGTTTGGTCCTCACTCACAACTTTTTGGAAAACTTTTTCAAAATGCCATTCATCTCTAAATTGTTCCAAACCAATCACACTTAACTATAAAGTTATTTTATGATGAGCTACTGAAAAGTAGATATATCTTATTGGTATATGTAGTACAAATTAATTATTTTTTTAAGTCATCTTTAATAGTACAATCTCACACTTGTATAAATCTATTGATTCCTCTCATTCTAATGTATTTAGGTTGTTACATTAACTATCACTACATGAGTATAACAATGTGACATTCACCATATATAAGTCATTGACCTTGTAATTCTCAAACATAAGCAATACATACATACATACATACATATATATATATATATATGACAAATACATACACAAATAAAAGGGATATTAGGGATTACCCTAAAAAATACAACTATCCAATAATAAACCGTATTCGGTTTCAAATATGTGAACATCTTGAAACACATGAGCAAACACTATTAGTGAAGTCATACTTCAAAGTAACTGCTATAATTTTAACTTGCAAAGGAACTTCAACCTTTTTCTTTCTTAAGAGTTTGCATTTATAAGACACTCATCATCTTATATTTATAGGCCCATGTGAGACACTATAAGGACCCTGCATTATTTTAAAATAAGGCACATATACTGTACAAATTGTAAAAAATAATTAAAACCACAAATACATTTAAGTCAATCAAGTGCACAAATAATAATAATTTTCTCAAAATTTAATTTTTACAATCCAAATAAATCATTAAATTACAAACATCCAAATTAAAAAATAAGGTTAACTTAAAATACATAATTTATTCACTCATTAATTCATATTTCTTTCGGAATAATCTGAAATAAACATGTAACAAACAATTATCATATAATACTAATTATTTAATATATAATTTAATATCTTTGTAAATTAAATTTCACTATTTATACCCACCCGTTGTACATTATTTTTTGTTATGTTCAAGAAGTAAGGACCACAGATACGGGTTGGGGTAAACACAACAATCTGAAGAAAAAAATTCAACTAAATTAATTCAATATTTAATTAAATTTTCATAAAAACATATACAACAAATATTACCTGTTTCAAAACTAACACACAACCAACAACAATGTCTTCCCCACATTGTGGGTGCTATTTTGCTTTGTAGTTGGGTTCTAAAAACAATATAGTTAATTATTTAAATAAATTCATTTTTATCATGTATAAAAAAATCACTAATCATTCCTTCAAGTAAATAGTATAATTCCTGTTCTCAGTTGTTGTCATAAAGTCCACAAAAGTAACAACAGTTGCAACTCTTTCTAAATTATGGTCTATATTAATCAATTGTGTCACTTCTAGAAGCCCTTTTGTTAATAAAAACATAGAATGCATTATATTAATTGCATTAATAAATTTAAACAAATAAAAATTATTAAAGAAAAAAAACCTCTGGATTTTCACGTAATGAACTGCATAACGGCGCAGGTTACTGTTGAACACCATGTTCACCACTCGACCAATATCAAAATAAAACTCTTGCGTTGGTAAAGGATTATCAGACTGCCTATTCCTCATTGCAGCTTCCACCAAACCAGCTGGTTTAGCAATAACA